TATATATATATATGTATATATATACATACATAAATAAAAAGGACATTGTGTGTGTCTGTGGTATCAATTTTAAAATGGTTTGGAAGTGATTTATGTTGATTGATCATAATTCAAAATACAGTTGGTAGCGTGAATGGAAGTAATTTTATTTTATTATGGAATTCATTACTTGTATTATTAACTCAATTATGAGACTGTGAAAAAAATGTTTAAGTACAGTAAAGCCGCCTATTTAATGTACAGTACTGGGAGAAGCCGAGAATGCGGAAAGATTTAGTTGGACTACCGGAACAATTTTGCAAAGACACACAATCGCCAACATCCGGTTGTTAGCATGTAGTTGACCTCAAGAGACTTAACGCTGACATTTTGATGAAAAACATCAACCAATGCCGATTGTGAAGTTGTCGAGACGCGCTAATGAGAACGATGGCTTCTTTTGTTGGTCCATTTGCGGCCGTGTTGACGCTGTCGTCGACATTTAGCTTGCTAGCCTTAGTTTGAAGTCCGGAAATTTAAGTGTCCATTCGTCTTCGTTTAAGGAGCGGCTAACAACTGTGAAGTAAGGAAACCATTAGAATAACTTTTTATTGTTGTTAAATGATTAACAACACACCCACATAGTTTTTGTGGGTGTGTGTTGGCCTCAAATGAAGTCTAGTCTTGCTACAAATAGGGCCAGCTGGTCAAATGGCACACCTATGAAAGGAGTAAAATAATATCCGGGAAAATACTCTCATGATGCCAGAAGATGTTGCTAACTTCAGCTCAGCGAGCTCATGAGGGAATGACTCCGCTTCCTTGTTCATCTATGTCAGCGACGTGTATTGACAGCCAGAAAAATTAATTCCTCACACAACTACATGGCAGAAGATGCATGTAGTCTCCTCTTGACATAAAACTGTTCAATAAAGGTTGATGAAACATCCGTTTAGATTGTACAGGGTGAGCCTTAACCAGGCTTAGCTTTCAATGTTATCTTTATTTCATGATTTTTTTGTTTATTTTTTTAGGAGATGTTTCTGGTGGGCCTGACGGGAGGTATCGCCTCAGGCAAAAGCACGGTGTCGGCGATGCTGCGCGAGCTTGGCTGTCCCATCATCGACGCGGATGTCGTGGCCAGGAAAGGTAATTTAGTATCAGTGGTACAATTCCAAAATTCCATCAACACTTTCTTCCATGGGAGTGTAATGGGAATTTCCAAAATTGAAGGTTAGCTCTTCCTAGGGAACTTCCACATATTTAGGGAAAATATTTTTTGTTTATTTTTTAGGAAATGTTTCTGGTGGGCCTGACGGGAGGTATCGCCTCGGGCAAAAGCACGGTGTCGGCGATGCTGCGCGAGCTTGGCTGTCCCATCATCGACGCGGATGTCGTGGCCAGGAAAGGTAATTTGGTGTCAGTGGTACAATTCCAAAATTCCATCAACACTTTTTTTCCATGGGAGTGAAATGGGAATTTCCAAAATTGAAAGTTAGCTTTTCCTAGGGAACTTCCACATATTTAGGGAAAATATTTTGGGCCACAAATTTGCTCCAGAGCACAAACACTGTCGACTCTTTGACTGTTTTTTTTTTTTTGTTGTTTTTTTTTTTTTTAATTTTTGAATGCAGTGGTGGAACCCCACTCGCCCGCCCACTCACGCATCGTCTTCCACTTTGGGCGTGAGGTCCTGCTGGAGAGCGGCGAAATTGACCGGCAGAAGCTGGGCCGCCTCATCTTCGCCGACAAGGAGAAACGCAAGCTGCTCAACTCCATCACACACCCGGAGATCCATAAGGAAATGCTCAAGCAGATCGTGTTCTACTTCCTCCGAGGTAGGACTTGATTTGAAAAAAAATAAAAATAAAATCGGCATCTTCCTGGCATTTTGTGTGTCACCCTTTCAACATATGTTCATTTATTATTTTGTATATTATGTGCATTTTTATGTTTGTTTGTTTATTTTAGGCTATCGCTACGTCGTGCTGGATGTGCCGCTTCTCTTTGAAACCAGAAAGCTCACGCAGTTTCTCAACCACACTGTTGTTGTGTACTGGTAAGGCCTCCTGTGCCACTCTGATGAAAAGCAAGCACCAAAAAATTACAGAATGAAATGAAATCTAAAACTGAAATCGTTAAATGATTCAATGTACTTTCATTCCATTTAGCACATTGAGCCATCATTTAATTCCCCTTTCCCAGCGACCCGGCCACTCAGCTGGCGCGCCTGATGCAGCGGGACGGCCTGACGGCGGAGGAGGCCGAGCAGCGGCTGGCGGCGCAGATGCCGCTCAATGAGAAGCGGGGTCTGGCCAGCCACGTCATCGAGAACTCTGGCGCGCGCGAGGACACCCACCGGCAGGTCCTGCGGCTGCACACCAAACTGGAGGACTCGATGGACTTCCTCCTGGTGCGGGTGCTGGCCGTGGCCGCCGCCGCCGGCCTGGGCGGGGTGCTGCTCTATGCTGCCAAGATGCTTTTGTCCTAACGGAGGGCGGATGACTGTAATAAGGTGCGAAAGGCAGGCAGACTGGCAACCGGGCACTGAACTGTGAGGTGAGGCACTGGAGCCACGTTCTCACTGGGATTTTGAAGGATTTCTGACAAAAACGTGCACTTTAATTCATAGCCAACTGACTTTTACTTTATTAAACACGTTTTAGAACAGTTTTATGGTTGCTTTCAAATGAAAAGCATGCATCTCCTTTTTTTTTCAACATTTCTTTTTGTTCCTGTTCCGAAATTCCCAACTTTTCAGTATGGGGGAAAAAAAATGCAGATACCAGGATGTTTTTGTAAAAGCAAGCCGCTTAACATAAACGAAATCAAATACTGTTTCTTGCGACTTCTTCCTGACTCTCTGCTGGAACCCCCCCAGTAGGATTCGCGAATTCGCGGAAAGGGGGAAGTGCAACGTAATCGAAAACTTTCTTGGACAGAAAAGGAACATCAAGACCCGCGGACAGGCGGATTGAGTCACCCCCCCCTTCGCCGATGTATGTCACTTGGCTCGGTCTTGGGCCCTCCAAGCTACCGAGTCACTAATGCGGAGTGATGGGTGGCAGGGCTGTGCCTTCAATACGTCCGGCAGCACAAGAGGTTACGACTACAACTCATATCGTACGTTTCAACACCTCAGATTGCAAAAATAGTCATGCACGCAATCGTGAGTACACACCTCAAAAAAATATATTTTATTCCCGCTTTTTGGTGTCAAGCTTGTATAACAGTGGAAGTTTACCTTCACCTGGCAACAAAAGTGAGCACACCCCACAGTGAAACTGTCCAAATTGTGGCCAGCATGTCAGTGTCCCCCCCCCCCAAAAAAAAAAAACACGGCAGACACTTAGAAATATTTGTGTTGCCTTCAACGACGTTTCCCACGTGCCCCCGGACAGCAGTTTGTCTTTTAACCGCTGCGTGTCAGGAAGGGCACATTATGCAAGCTTGGACTTTATCTGAACCAGCCAGTGTGAAAACTCCCGAGGGAGCCATCCTGTCGGAATACTAATTGTGGCTTGAACAAAGCCAAGAAAGTTGACGGTCCTAAAAGCGTCACGGAGCCCACCGCCACTTGCTCACCGTTTCCCGACAGCGGACGTCTGTTATCAGGCCATCGCCGAGCTCTGCCCACCTGCGGGCGCCCGCGGAGTGTCATCTGTCTTGAGTGCTTTTTCATCACCGCGCGCCTACCGACCATCAGGCAAGGCCAAGCTGGGTTTGTGCTAAATTTAAAAAAAAAAAAAAACTGCTATAGCTGATAAGCAAGCAATGCAAAATGTTTAAGGATGACTTCACGGTGGCATTCAATTGCAATTGTTCACAACATGAATGCTAATTATTTACTTCACTGTGGCATTAAATTGCAATTGTTCACAACATGAATGCTAATTATTTTTTAACCCCATAATGCAAAAACACGCATGTTTGCATGACTGTAAGCTAAATTGTGCGTAGGCCTCAACAAGTTTGTCTCTACGTGCCCTTGCAGTGACCTTGTGTGTGTTTTTCGAGCCATTCAGTGGCAGCTCCACACAAACCTATCTATTGTTGACGCCCTTTCGCACATAAAGAAAATGTATCATCGTCGACCACAGAATGCCCCGTCGGCATCCAAAACTTGCTCGATAACTACTCTAGGAATTTAAAAGTCGGAAGGCGCAAAAGCCGACGGCTGGCAACTGCAGCTCGACACCAACGGCTGCCGTGAAGCGGCCCTCCGCGGTCAGCCATCTTGAACTCTGGCGTCACGCTAGGCCGAGGCGGGCCGCGCCGAGCGCCTCCGTAGCGCGTTGTCACGCCGCATCCCAACGACATCGGGTGAGGTGAAGAGACAGGCAACACGCCAGCAGAGCATCCCCGGCCACATGAGTCAACCTGTCCGCGCGCGTTAGGCCCGGCTCCGTCAGGGGCAGGGGGCCACGAGGGCAGCGCGGAGGGCCACTGGTGTTGAGTCACTGACACACTGGACTTGTTCCCTGGGATGCGGCGGGGAGGGCGTGCGGCGTACGCAGTCACGTCCTCCCAAGGAGCGCTAAGACGCGGGCGGCGGCGGTGTGCATGGCTGCACACATGTCGGCCCACCGCCAGCCTCTCGGCGCTTTCCTATTGCCGCAGCAAACTTTCTGCTCTATTTGCTTTCCGTTGGCTACAATGTCGCGCGAAGACAAAGAGTTAAACGTATCGGGCAAGGAATTGTTAGTGTGCTCGCTCACCTCGTTTGGATTTTTCAAGAACACTGGTGATTATTTATAAACTGGTGAGATGCGAACATGACTGAGCTCGCTTCTCGGAGTCGGTGAATTGGTGATGAGTTCACTGCTTGTTCAGTTTGGGAACGCGGCGCGGGAGGCGCGGGGCTAATTTAGCCGAGACATCAGCCTCTAATTCCGATACCTCTCGCTGAGTTAATTGGGGGGGGGGGGCGACGCGTAAACAGAAGCGAGCCTGGATGAACGTCACAGTTGGTCGTAACTTGCACAAAGTAGCTGCAGGACGGCCCAAATATTTGCGCATCTCTGCGGGATCGCTTTGGGGAGTATCTGGAAAAGCTTTCGCAATCCATCTATATGACGGGTGCCAAAGTCAAGGCCCGGGGGCCAGATCTGGCCCGTCACATCAATTTATGTGGCCTACTGAAGCGAGGGAAGTGTCGACTTTATGGTTCTTGCTCAATGGACTTGTTCCTTTGTTTGGCTGTTAAAGCTGTCACAGAATCGCAGTTTTTCTTTTGCCCGTTTTTTTTTTTTTTCGCACAACGCCTTCCTCCCATATTTTGCTTTTTCTTTTTCTCCTTCCTCTTATTCCTCCTGTTCTCTTATTCGTCCTCTTGATTGATTTCTTTTTAAAGCAGCGCTCTTTGCGGCGTTCAGGTCGGCGCGGGATGCTCTGAGGACGTCCGCGGCAGCCATTGCAACGCGTTGTCGCGACGCCTCGGGGCTGTTCGTCTTTGACATTGTGACATGAAGTCTCTAATTTGACGATGCTCTCATAAGCGCCCGAGAGGAAGCCAGCTTCTCGGCCTCCCCCCGTGGCTCGGCTGACCTCTGCCGAGGCACGGTCGCTCACTTTTAATTGTGTCTGGAGGAAGTGAGCTGTCTGTCTCCAAGGCATTAAATAACACTGACGCTCTGACACTGCAAAGCAATCCAGTCGTCGCTGCTGTTTTTCTTTTTTATCATCTGCTGACTTTTTTGTGGGGTCTTTTTTGGATGGTACTGAACACTGGTAACTCTGACACCGTCGCAACTTGGCATTGAATTTTCGGTGGTACTTGAGAGTTTCACAATACTGAAGATAACCCGAGGGGGAAATTAATCGGATTTTACAGTTGAAGTCAGGAAGCGACTGTCTTGTTGCTGTTTCCCCCCCCCTGGATGATGTGCTGATCTCAGCTTTGTCAGGACACATCATCTGACTTATCAAACTGTTGATGTGCTTTCATTTACAGAACGAACTTTTTCTTTAATTAGAAAAAAAACATGGGGTATGCATTGAAAACCTACCACATTTGGAACATACAACTCTGGAAAAAAAATCAAGAGACCACCGCTGATGTGAAGAACTTTTCTTTAATGAGAAAAAAAACAAAGCCATGGGGTTTCCATTCCAAACCGAGCAAGTTTGAACACATTTTCTGCGTCTTTAGTCGTCAAAGGGTTCATGGATTTTTTGCATGCAAGGTGGTCATTGCCAGCACGTCACATGAAAGAATCACGACAGTTTGAAAGAAACGGTTTTAACAGACACACACCGGGATGCATGCGCACGACTCGGATTGACAAAATTCAATATCACATAACACATTTGATTGTGCTGAGTGAACCCCCAACTATTCACAAATTCACCAATTGGCATTTTTCCCCCGTCAAAAAAAAAAAAAAAAACGACGAATGGGGGAAATTGAAAACAAAGAACACCAACAAACACGTGATCGGGCGGTGCGTCTTCCGAATCGTGACGTCACGTCAGCACGGAGACGACGCGTGGGTAAAGAGGTAGACCGTTCGCCACCGATCCGCAGCTTCCGGGCCAACGCCGGCCTGCCTTCCGGCCAAAGTCATCGACCGGCGCTCGTCAGTCGGCGTACAGGATGAAGCCCGAGAAGGTGCTGTACTTGTTGCTGTTGCCGCCGTGCGCTTTGCCCCCGTCCAGTTTGACGCACACCTCGTCGCCCGCGTCCAAGTGCACGATGACGCTGTTGCTGGCGTAGTCGTAACTCTGGTCCTGGTCTTGAGCGATGGCGCTCGCCCTGACCTGAAATTAAGAAAATGCACCTATTAGAAGCAATCGGGCCAATGAACTCGACGCGCATGACTGGAGAGCGAGCGGTGTTTGTTGGTATTTTTGCTTTGTTTAGTGAGCAAGAATTTGACTTGATATTTCTTGCTTTCCCGGACTTCGCCACTAGACGGCGACAAAAAACCCGGTGTTCCATACATTTGGTCCAAATCTTTTTCGATGCAAGTTCTTTCATGAAATATGACTATTTCTCATGCGGATGACAATGACGTTTTGAGCATAAATAGCAAATGTATCCACTAAAATGTCATTTTGTATCAAACGCGGAGATAATGCTATTTTTCAATTAAAAAAACAAAAGGGAAGGTTCCATTCGTTTCAATGGAGAAAGTGAATTTGAGATCAGGGTGATTTGGCGTCACTCAAGGTACCACTGCATTGCTATGAGCATTCAAAATGTGAACCTATGAAGCCTGTCTTTTGCAGACACCCCCCCAACCCCCCCCCAAAAAAAAACGTGCTGATGCGAGGAATCCTCTACGTCCGTAGTGGCTACAAGAACGTGGTGACTCAAGTGTAAAGCTTCGGCTTGACTCACCCCGCCTGAGAGGATGCACAGTGCTGCCAACGATCCCCCTTCACCCACCCCTCTCTGTCCTTCATTTTTTTTTTCCTCTCTCCAAGTCTTGAACTTTGATCATCACTGCCTGTCTGCATGGAGTGTTTGAAACCACCACGACTGGAGTGCCACGTCCCATACGCGTCATGAAGACATCATAGGGCGAGAGGGCATTCAAATTCCCCCTTAAAACTTTTGACAGGTGGGAAGTGGCGTGCCACGGAACGGCCACTGCGCGTCTGTGGTTGCCTTTTGTTTTGATAAAGTACATGTAGTCACCACAGTGCACATTACAGATGCACAGTGTGTGCATGACGATAATATGTGCTTTGGGTCCGTAGAGGTTGCTCAAGAGTGTCCTTAGGTAAACAAGTGTTATTTGAGGTTGCACGTTGTATCTGGACTCCCATCATGTTTGCGTTTCAGTTCCGATTTCTGTGGCGTTTGATCAGCATCACCACCCGAGGCCTCTAAGACATTACAAATCATCCGTGAACGTAACCAATACCTCATTTTCACACCAACGCTGCCTGGCCCGGGCAGGCCGCGCGATAAACGCAACGTGCACGGACGTCACGGCGACGGCGGCGAAAGAGTTTGTATTTTGTATTTCAAAGCACTTTGAACTTGTTTGTTCAGACCTCGGGCGACGGTTTGATGTGCGGCGGGGCTGCGGATCACACTAGACTCACTTTCCCTTCGCGTGCGCCATCTGGCTGCCTGCCGCAGCGCCTTTGTCGTTTTTTTGCGGGCTTTGAATCGAGATCGCGACACACGTGAACGCATAACGATACGTTGCCGGCATAAATCGGTGAACAACAGTTCATTATTTGGAATACAGTAAATGAATCATTTTCAGACCCATTCATAATCCTCATTCGGGTCTTGGGTGTGCTGGACCTGATCCCAGCTGACTTTGGACAAGAGACAGTCCATCACGAACTGGCCGGCTGTCAATCAATCTGTAAGTAATTGACGCTCTCAAAAATGGTTTGCACTTGCCGACAGATGCCACAAGATGGCAGCATAGCATGTGGCCTGACGAAAAGAAGCTCCTGCCCTCAGTTCAACATAGTGGCCTGGCAGCAAGATGCCACCGGTCATATTTTTAGATCACAAATGGCGATCAGCAAATAATGGAGTGAGGATAATGCTTGAAACAGTCGGCACCAAGGTAGCTTACGGCGGTAGAGAAAACTAAAATCGTCATTCACATCAGTTAGCCAGTACGCTCAACTGCTCTGACCTGATCAATTGACTTGTTGTTTCCAAAAGGTGCCACCTGAGCTTTTTCCACCTCATGGCGAAAAGCTCTTCAGGAAGTCAGTTACCCACCAGACCGTTCTTGAGCAGGTCGGCCCACATGCTGGTGCCGTCTCCTCCCCTCATCAGAACGTTGTATATGAAGAAGTAGGTGCCGGGAATCTTGCAGGTGAACTTGCCCGTGGCGCCGTCGTAATTCCCGCCGATGTTGGTCACCACGTCATCGAAGCGCAGGACGTCGTAGCCTTCCTGTGGGTTCCGGAGCCCCGCGTAGAAAGCCACCCGGGGCGTGGTGTTGTACATGGCCGTGCTCACCGAGCCCGTACCCCCTAAGCCTAGAATCCCGGTGCGTACCACGTCCACGCCGTCCCCGGGCGGACCCTTGGGTCCCGGTGGGCCCGGCTCTCCGGGAGGCCCCGGGGGGCCCGGCTTGCCGGGGCGTCCGGGTCTTCCCTCTGAAGCGTGAGCGGCGAAAGTGGGCAGCGGCGGCCCGATGCTGCGGTCGCTGGTGTCGGCTTGGTCGTCCACCTGTTGCTCGGCGGTTATCGGCTCCTCCGCCGTAGGGAAGGGGTCGCACACCATCCGGCAGCTGCCCAGCATCTCGAACCTGCCGCCGCCCTCCTCGCCCCCTCCGACGGAGCTGACCAGCACGGGGATGAGCACCACCAGGACCAGCACCAGCATGACCCCTACGGCGGCCGCCACCAGCGTCTTGCGCCCGATGCTCAGCCGGGGAAGGGGCTGGGCTGCCAGCGTGGAGCTCTCCGGGGTGGGAATGGTGACTCCGGGTGGCGGGGGTCCACTGGGATGAACGTGAGGAGTATATTCCCAAAGATGCTGAGAGCTGGGGAAGGATTGAGTGACAAGCGAGCGAGCCGAGTGAGCCGAAGGAAAGCGAGGAAGAGGAGGAGGAGGAGGAGGAGGAGGAAGGAGGAGCGAGAGAAAGCAACATGCACACACCTACTCTGAGTCAGGGCTGAGGAGAGCACTTTCTCATGGGTGACGGCGGAAGTATCTGCTCCATCGTCCTATTCCTTGGATAATAAACTGGAAAAAGATGGCCAGATAAATAAACAGGTAAAGCAAAAGCCAAAGATCTCCATTTTTTTTAATTGCTGGTTTCTAGGTTAAAGCTAATCATTTTTAGATGTACACAATCTAAATGATAAATCTAAATTAATATTGAATATTTGAAGGCAGACCTCAATTTAGTGAAATTAGTTTTTATTAATTGCTGCTTTCCACCACGTTAAACCTTTTTTTTTTGGGGGGGGGGCGATCGTAAGTTAATATCAATTCCGAAAACGGGAGTGAAAAGTCAAAACAGTTTGGGTGGAATTTAGTGATGAGTTCTTTTCTTCCTGATTCAATGTCAAAGCTTATTTTTATCGACAGACACTTTTGATTTTACCAATATGCAGGTTTCAATCAATAAATCATATTTACGATTCTATTTTACGCTAAAATATGTATTTAAGAAAAGAGTGAACAGTTTTGTATGATATACTGTATGTTCTATATTCGAAGAATAAACTCAAAATAAAAAAAAATGACCATGTCCTCATTTTATGTAAAAAAATGATTAATTAGAATAACGGTACGAGAGTAAAGTTGCAAAAGTAACGTTGTACTTTACAAGAAACGAACTTGTAATATTACAAGAATAAACAATTTTTCGTTGGAAGACTTTGGTGCCCTCACGTGGTCATAAGGCGCATTACAGAAGACCACTTGATTCGCTTCCTTCTTTTGTCCAAAAGATGGCGCCCGCTTCTCACTTTTCCTTCGATGATCTTTTCATGCCATTTCGTTTCACTGCGCTTGGTTGCACTTTTTCATGCAAGCTGCCCTTATCTGCTCGACTGGGGGTTGAAGGTATGAGGGTCAGGGGGTGGGCGGGACGACCCCCCCCCCCCCCCCCCCCCCCCCCCGTCAACAGCGAAACACATTCCACAGCGGGGAGGGTCTTGTCAGCAGTAAGCGGAGAACCACAAAAAACAGCAGGACATCTCTGATGTCGACATTGAGACTGGACTATCGTTGTTGTCGCTCTGGGTGACATGAGAGGACACATTGGATGATATTGTAAGAATAAGTCAACGTGTGTCGGAAAAGTACCCGTACTAATTTGCTTTTCATTTTTGTCTGCTCAGCAGGGGTGCGCAACGGGTGGGGCCATTGGAGCGGGTGTCCCGGGCATCCACCTGAGGGGAGGGGCGGGACATACACACTATTGTTGTTGATGAAGGGGCATCCCAACGATGTAAAATGGCCTGAGGATGATGGCCATAAAGTTAGAATATCTTCCGTCGCCCCCCCCCCCCAAAAAAGTAACTTTTCTCGGTAAAGTGTGACTTTCTTCTGAGGATATTACAACGGCTTCAAGGAGGGCACCCATATATGCTGTCCTGCAAATATCGAGATGGAAAATACATGCAGCACTTGGCTTGTTTACGTAGGTCGTCAAACTTCCTTGAATCCGTCCTCGGGCTCTCGAGTCCTTTTTAGGAAACGAGCCGCTGCCTTGCAGCTCTTTGCGCCATTCGCTGCAAATTCCTTTGCTGCTTTTCATATCAATACGTTCAAAACCGGGATGTCGGACAGATGGCTTAATAAATCGCTTTAATTGTCATGATGTACTGAATTCGTTTATTGTATTGGTAGTAACAGATTGAGGGCAAATATTACAGTATCCATTTTACTGGTAATTAAATACATTATAAACCGCATTTCCACTAAATATGCATACATTATTATGATTATTATTATTCTCATACTTATATTTATCCTAGTTTAAATAAAAATAACAGTATACCAGAGAATTTGGTGTAATTTAACCATGATGGCCATTTTGTTTTGAGAATAAATCCAGCTGTTTTTTTTGGGGGGGGGCCGGGGGGAAATTCCCCATCATGTCATATTCTAGCTATTTCAAATGATTATCCATTCAGATTGTTTTTTTTTGTTTGTTTGTCTGCATAAAGTACCCACCATGGCATAGTTTGGCCAACTAAAACCATCCATAAAACGACAATAATATCATTCCAGTGACATCAGATTTGGCGTCGTCATTTTATCGTTTATTCAGGTACGTATGACAAGTTAGTAATGTCAACACATTATTTTGTTTGCGGTGTGATCAGCTGTGCAGCGTGTATAAAAAAGAAAAGAAAAGAAAAAGCGATAACACGTCCAACCGGTTGAACTTCCGCGTGTGGAATGTGACAAACACTACACACACATATTCGCCTTTTTAGGGCATAAGAATCTATTACGTAATTGCAGACAGCGGCTCTACAAATCTGCTCTCCAAACGGGATGCGGAAAGGAAAGAAAAGGAAAGGCTCGGGATGTTGAGCGACGGCTCGCCTCGGCCAATGGGAAGCGAGAAAGATCGCCCTCCCGGCATTTTGATTGGCCAGAAGGTGGGGCGTCGTAACGTGACGTCTCTCTGCTTCAGTTAGTCAAGGGAGTTTGATGGTTCTTAGGCCGAGTGTCCGAGCTTGCAGAGGCGGAAAAACGTCACTCGAAAGAGGGCGTCTGACTGGGAGAAGCGGCCTCCTCCGGTCTTTGCAAGTTTGACTTTTCCCCCCTTTCTTTCTCCTGTGTTTGAAAAACCCTTATCGCCATGCCGGTGTTTCACACGAAGACGATAGAAAGTATTCTGGAGCCGGTGGCTCAGCAGATCTCCCATCTGGTGATCATGCATGAAGAGGGCGAGGTGGACGGCAAGGCGATCCCCGACTTGACGGCACCGGTGGCGGCTGTGCAAGCTGCAGTGAGCAACCTGGTCCGGGTGAGTGAAACGCCGCGTTTGCTTGTGACGGCGACCTGTAGCTCTCCGAAGAAACTTTTTTGGACGTTTACTAGACGGTTGGTGGGGAATCATCTCGGGTATCAAAGAGGTGGAAATGCGACTCAAGTTACTGAACGGGGCAAAGGCACTGACGCCCTTTTTCCCCTTGAGAATGGCCCCTCTTGCCTCCCGTAGCCTTGGCACGTTGGCACAACTTTGCACCGAAACAACATTCGGATTATGCACTTTACATCATAATAAAGTGTATCTTGAGCTCGCTACGTAGCCGTCAGTTCAAATGATTATTTGAAAATCAAGGTTCATAAAAGATTGCATTAAAATTAAGAAAATAAATTAACCTCAAGGGCAATCCCAGACCCCCTGCAGGTCCCGGGTGAGAAGTATGACATCCTCTGTTAAAAAAATGTACATATAATAATAATAATAATAATAATATACCATTCGGGCAATTGAGGAGCAATGGAGCATAGATAAATTTATTGACATAAATAATGAACAAAGCCTTCATTGCAGTGCCTGTAGGCCACAGGTGTCAAGGTCTGGTCCTGGAGGGTCACTGCTCTGCATTTTGTAGACGTTTCCATCCTCCAACACACCTAATTCGAATGATCAGCTCATCAGTAAGTTCTGAAACAAACTATTAATTAAAAAAAAAAAGACACAAGAGGAAATGACAACTGCTTGGCTGATACTGTAAACTATATTCGGGTAGTTCCTGTGTGTGGTCAGTTTCTTTCAAGTGGTTGTTTTCTCGACATTCGAACGGTCGCCACATTAACGTTGGACTGATAATCGCCTGTTGTGTTTACGGCCATTTTTAGTTTAGCTCACTTTTTTTTTTTCTCTGATTCTCACTATTATTTGTTTTTTTGGGCGGATAGATCAATTTGTCTTTTACTGTTTCCTGTTGCCACGGCAACCATATAACATTGACACCGCCATGATGTCACTTCGGTTCCACGGTAGTGATCCATCTGGTTGTGTGTTTATGATGACTCATACAAAGTTCAGAGGAAAACTGGAACTCTGCGCCGCGCTCCGTCCTGATTGGCGATGACGTGAATCCTTCCAGAATGTCTGTGACGCCGCCGCCTTCCGAATGTATTTCACCGCTCTTGAGTGATCTTTGCCACGCAGCTGTCAAGTAGATGAGGAGTCCGCGACGCGCTCTTCCAAAGGAGCAGGAAGCCACCGTCTCATCTAAGTGCATAGTTTGTTGATATCCGACGGGCGCGGCTGCGCCATTCGCCCTTTTCAGGGCTGGGTAGGAAACCACATGTTGCGTACACGCTTCCTGTGAGTGAATTTTGATGGATGCTCGTCTTGCGACAGAGCCTCGAGAATGTTACCAAGGTACATTGGAGACGTTTAAGTGACTTATTTGACATTGTTCAGTCCCAAGAATGCCCCCTGGGGTGATATTCGGGATTGGATTAAAACATTTGCGTCCACCGAAAAAATCGGGAGGCATCAGGCGGCACAACGAGGCACGTTGTGACACACATACTGTGGTTTGTGTGCTTCTCTTTTTTTAATTTATGACCTTGAAGTGTTTTTCAGAGCAATATTGACTCCAGTTATGACGTTACTGTTGCGCTGGCGTACAGTTGGTTAAAAATCATGCACGATATCTGATTACAAGTGATGTAAAAATTGTTACTTTTACTTTTTGGAAAATAAAAAGTCCCACAAAAGTCAGTTAAGGGAGCCGAAAAGGTGTTGAAGTGCTCTTTGGCTGATTGAAGCCCGGAAGATTGAGCTCTGCAGCATCTTCTGTTTTTTTTTAAATTCCGCTCCGATTGAAATGATGAGCCGGATGCTGATGAGAGATGAACGTCGGCTATGTGAGGAATTCCCAGCGAGCAGGCATGCATCCCTATGCACTTTGGGGCGCTTTGGAAGTGTACCCCCCGCCCTTAAACAAGCAGCTTAAAATGAAATTTGGAGAAGACTGGATAGACCTCAGTTCACATTTGCAGACCAGTGCTTCAATTTATTGGCAGACCGCAGATCAGGAGAAAACACAGTGACGCACACGACGCAAAGAAAATGACCTCCTCCTGCTCTGCCGAGGCCGCTAATCAAATATGCAAGACTCTGTTCCTTCCT